CCCCCCCGCCCGGGCACTCACTCACCGACCCGCGCACAGATCAAGTCCACGGGTGGGACCGCCTGCCCGAGGGGGCGTCCCTCCCTGTGAACCGGTGTCCAGGCTACGACTTGCTTCAGGGCTTCCTGCAGGAGGTGCTCTTCTTCGTGCGCTTCCTCCCCCAGCTGCTGGCCGGGCCGGCAGCCGAGCAACAGCCGGGGGCCGCCCAGCGCCGGGCCCGCGCAGCCGCCTGGCTGGCCTGGCACCGGGAGTTCGAGGCACAGCACCGCCAAGCGGCCGAGCCGCTCGAGTCCCTCACCGCCCTGGACACCCCGGCCAGGGTGGACCTGTGGTATGCGTGCTGCATTCGGGCCGCCGAGTCGATGCGGCTGTTTGCCGGGGCCGGCGGGCTGGCCTGCGTCCTGGCCCCCGGGGCCGGGGAGCCGGCGGACACCGGGGCAGCCCTGTCGAGCACGGCCGCGACCACCTTTGTCCAGGATATCACCGCGCGAATTGAGGCCTTGACTCGGGCGGCCGGGGCGCCGGCCGCCCCCGGGCCCTCGACCGCGCACTTGTCGGATCTGGCGCAGGGGTTCTTCGCCGACCATCCCGAGCCCGAGGGGGCCCCCCGGTCATGGGCCTTCGCCGAGCTGACGCCCATCTTTCACACGGCCCCCGCGCGCATGGACTTCCTGGGGATCCTGGCGCATGCGTCGGCCGCTCGTCTGGCGCGCGGCCATGTCATGGCCCCGGGCGGTGCGTTGTCCTCCGCTGGCCATCCTCCTGGGTGTGGTGTGTCGCTGACCGTCCGCCTGCGGCCGCCACAGAAAAAGAGCCCATTTCCGAGGCCCACCTGGCGCCGGAGGAGCTGCATTCACTGCAGAAGATGCGCGACTTGACGACATCCGCCCGGTCGACCGGGTTTGCTTCGATCCTCCTGATGGAGGAGGGCCGCCGAGAGTATGACCGTGCCCGGCGCGCGGTGCTGGACGAGCGGGCCCACTTTTTCGCCAACCTGCGGTACGACAAATGCCCTGGCAGGCGCCCCCTCCCCCCCTCCATGGGCATGTTGTCCATCTCGTGCCCTGACGGGCGAGCATGCGCCTGCTTGTTTTCTTACCCCCTCCCTCCC